ACAGGTTTTATGTCAATAGGAACGACTTCCTGTAAGTTCTGACTAAATCCTGTAAACCGGACTGCTATTGGAACAGACTAAATATAAATAAGATGGAGGAAAACTAGTGCTGCCACTCCATTAATACAATTTATATTTCAACTTTAAAAACACCCAAATAATGCACAAGAAATATACTTTTGTGAAAAGGGGATTTCTGTTCCTTTTCTTCGCACGCAGAAAGGAGAATTCTATGTTATGAGGGTTATAATCCCAAGCGCGGCCGAAGGCCGCCTACGCAGAAAGCTGTTCTCTGCAAAAGGTGTTCTGCCCCTTTTCTTTGGCAACACAAAAAGGAGAATTCTACGTTGTGGGGGTTATAATCGCTAAGCGCGACCGAAGGCCGCCTACGCAATAAGGAGTTGGACGCATAAAAACTTTTTTAATAGAGTGACAGCAGCAATTTAGTTCCATTTTATTTTTGATAGAGTGGCAATACTGGTTTTCCTCCATGTTATTTATATTAACTACGCAAGATTGTTGTGCGGATTTTCACCATCGGAATATTGCTATTAAATACAGAATTTCGCGAAAGTGTACACTCAAAACATCACAAATATATAAAAAGTAATGAATATGTGTTCAGTTGAGCTCATTTACTCCATTTATTTGCGTCAAATTCATCAAAACAGTGCGAAAACTGCAAGTGTTTTTTGCGAATAACTCTTTAATGAATTATAGCATAGAATTATGAATTATGAATAGCAGGAAATAGCAACGTGAGCAACCCATGTGCGAGATGCGGTAACCAATCCGAGGGGAGCCTTGGGTCACGGCAGAGAGGGAGCTACGGTGGGGCCACTCCGACTTATTCGGTTTAAGGGTTCACTGAAGTCTGCAGCGTCTGTTCACCAGTAGGTGCGGCTACAAGCGGGTGTCTGCTTGGAGCAAGCGGCTCGCTATATAAACGTGTATTTGGTTGCGAAACCACCCCGTCCCAGCAATGGGTTGTGCGCTGGGCTTGGGACCCGCCACGTAAAAACCACTTCGAGTGAAGAAACAAAGCAAAGCCTCGGATGAGACCCCCCTTATGATGACGACCACGGCAAACGTTTAAAGGACTACGATGTTAGGACATGCACCTGGAATGTCCGGACCCTTAATGGGGAAGGTGCCTTTGCCCGGCTGGTTGATGTCCTCGTAAGGACAAAAGCTGACATCACCGCCATCCAAGAAATGCGTTGGTCGGGGCATGGTAAGCAATGTCTGGGGCCATGCTGCCATGTAACGGAGCGCAAATTCGGAGTGGTGCGAGAGAGACTCCGTCGCCGAGTACTGTCGTTCACCCCGGTGGACGAGCGTCTAGCCACAATCCGCATCAAAGCGATATTCTTCAACGTCTCGCTCATCTGCGCCCATGCCCCGACGGAAGAGAAGGATGAGGCATCCAAGGATTTCTTCTATGAGCGCTTGTAGCATGATATCAAAATCGTGCTTGGCGACTTCAATGCCAGAGTGGGTAAGGAAGCGATCTTTGGAACCACCGTCGGAAAATTCAGCCTCCACGACGAAACGTCCGACAACGGATTGAGGCTGATCGACTTCGCCAGGGTCCGAAACATGGTAGTATGCAGTACTAGGTTCCAGCATAAAAAGACCAATTAAGCTACGTGGCTGTCTCCGGATCGAAAAACGAGAAACCAAATCGATCATGTTGTGATAGACGGAATGCACGCTTCCAGTGTTTTAGACCTACGCACACTCCGAGGCCCAAACATCGACTCGGACCACTATCTTGTTGCAGCCAAGATACGCACCCGCCTCTGTGCAATCACAACAGACAGCCAGCGCTTTCACTACTCGACTCTCACACCTGCTTTCATAGAGCACTCTTCAACAAACCGACATATGCGAGCAGTGGAACTACATTTCCCGCTCATTAAGTACCGCCGCCGAAGAAGTAGTCGGATTTCAGCGAGCCCGAAAGAACAACTGGTACGATGAGGAGTGTCAGGAAGCTGCAGAGAAAAAAGATTCCGCCTACAGGGCCACGCTGCGATCGGGCGCAGCGCGCGCTATGTGGGACCGCTATAGGGATCTGAAGAGGGAGCGAGACGTATTTGCCGCAATAAGAAGAGGGAGGCCGAAATACGTGAGTGCGAAGAGCTAGATATGCTGGCCGACAGGAAGAATGCCCGAAAATTTTGCCAGAGAGTTAAGCCACTTACGGGAGGTTTCAAGACCTCCTGTAAGAACAATAATGGCGACCTAGTAATCGATGTTCAGAGCATACTTAAATTATGGAGGGAACACTTTTCCGCCTTACTAAATGGTAGCAGCACGGAAAGTTGTACAGAAGAAGAACCCGAGCCCGCAGTCGATGATGATGGAGTCGACGCTCCACCACCTGACTATGACGAGGTACGTATAGCAATAACAAGGCTGGAAAACAACAAAGCTGCTGGAGCTCACAGCCTGCCAGCTGAGCTATTCAAGTACGGCGGCGAGGAGTTGATAAGGTGCATGCAACAACTCTTGTCAGAATATGGTCAGATGAACGCATGCCCGACGACTGGAATTTAAGTGTGCTCTGCCCATTCCACAAGAAAGGTGACCCTACCATTCGCGCCAACTACCGCGGGATCAGCCTTCTAAGCATAGGTTGCAACGTCTTATCGAGCGTATTGTGTGAAAGACTGAAGCCCACCGTCAATGAACTGAGTGGGTCTTTTCTGTGTGGCTTTAGACCTGGAAAATCCACCATAGACCAGGTATTCATAAAACGCCAAATCTTGGAAAACACCCGCGATAAAATGATCGACACTCAGCACCTATTTGTCGACTTTAAAGCCGCTTTTGACAGCACTAAAAGGAGTTGCCTATACGCCGCTATGTCTGAATTTGGCATCCCCTCAAAACTCATACGACTAAAATGACGTTGAGCTATACCACCAGAATTGGGAAAGACCTCTCCGAGCCGTTCGCCACCAAACGGGGTTTCAGACAGGGCGACTTCCTTTCATGTGACTTCTTTACTCTGATGTTGGAGAAGATAATAAGAGCTGCAGGACTGACGCTCTCAGGAAACATTTACTACAAGAGCGTGCAATTGCTGGCTTATGCCGATGACATCGACATCATCGGTAACAAAAACCGCGAAGTCTGTTCTGCCTTTTCCAAGTTGGATAAGGAAGCAAAGCGAATGGGTCTGGTGGTAAACGAGGACAAGACGAAGTATCTCCTGTCATCAAACAAACAGTCAGCACATTCGCGCCTTGGCACCCAGGTCACTGTTGACAGTTACAATTTCGAGAAAGTAGAGAATTTCGTTTACTTGGGAACAGTGTTGCCAGGTCTTCGGCATGAGAAAACGTCCTCTTGGTCTGAAAAACGTCATTTCCGACCCAAAAACGTCTTATTCAAATGAATGCACAAAAAAATGGTCTTATTAAACTTTTATTGTATACAAAGGTACATTTAAAATTCACTATAAACTGGTTTGAGATCGTTAATATAAAAATCATTTTATTCATACACTTGTGATCAGCTGATTAAGTCATCACCATTTTGATCGATTTTGGCTGTTTCTCTTTTGTTTATTTAATGTTTATTATTTTTCCATAAAAGCCGAGCTCATTATATAACGAACAAAATATAAATCCACATTTCAAACTTCGTGCAAAAATTATAAAAAATCTGCAAAACTTCAGCTAGAATTTCCACTTTTTGTTTAGATTTTTTAGAATTTTTGGCAATAGTGTGCAAGTTTAAAGGGCCTAAATAACCGCGTTGAATTTTAATAATTTTTTTTCTTGTAGACATTTGGTAAGGGGGTCGGTTGTCGAAAATGCTATATTACGTTCTGCTAAGAAGGAGCATAGCAATATTTCAGCCGCTTTTGCGTTCATAACATTTTCAGTCTCAAAAAAGTTGCCTACTTTTTTTCTGACTTTTTATGCTGCTACAGCTTTTTTGATGCTTTTGCGAGCGTGCGTGTTGCAAGAGATCAGCTCTTCCTGCTTTGGCTTTTAATGTGCAATTGCAAACATTACAATAAGCCTCGTAACCTCAAATGTTTACACGACCAGCCTTTGAACACGGGATCCTTAGTCCAAGAATCCAAAAAAAATGCGCGTACGCAGAATAAATATCTTTTGAAGCAGCTGCTGCAAAACACAAAGCTTGGAAAGATTTATTAAGAAGATAATTTAAAATCAGTTCTACTTGCAAGATCTAGTAACAGAGAAAAATTACTGGGAAGTTAAAAAACGTAATTTTTTACACATAAAACGTCCAAACGTCAACAGGATACAAAGAACGTCCAAATGACGTTAAAAACGTCAACCTGGCAACGCTGCTTGGGAGCCGATAACACCGATAATAATGTCAGCATTGAAATCCAACGCAGAATCACTCTTGCCAGCAAGTGCTACTTTGGACTGAGTAGGCAATTCAGGAGTAAAGTCCTCTCTCGACGTACGAAAAACAACACTCTATAAGTCATCATCATGGCCGTGCTGGTATATGGCGCAGAAGCATGGACAATGACAACATCTAATGAGGCGGCTCTTGGAGTGTTTGAGAGAAAGATTTTGTGGAAGATTTACGGGCCTTTCCGCGTTGGCGATGGCGAGTACCGCAGACGATGGAACGATGAGCTGTATGAGCTTTGCAACGACATGGGGTGAATTTCAACCTCTGCCAATTTGAATTCAAAGCGCATTTCATAGAAATTCATTCGGAAGTGAATTGCAGAACCTGCCTGATTATTTCAGTTTTAACCGAAACTGTGCATGTATGCGTTACTTCCGTACATATTTGGTCAAATAAAAAATCAAATAAATTCACCATTTTATATTCACTTTAATGGTTTGTTCATGTAAAAATGTGTATAAAAACGTTTACATACAAAGATGTCAGAATCTGTAAAATTACATTTATACTTACTTACGTTGATATGTACTTATTATTCTATATTTAATAAAAAAACAACAAAAAAACTCTTCATGACCCTCATTAAATTTAACACAAATCTTTGCCGTTTTGAATTATGACCTTCAGTTTCCCCAATGAATTTTAAAATTTATCAGACTAAAATTAAAAATTACAAATTTTCCGAACAAAATTGTGCCATTTTAAATTTTAACATACTGATAAATTTAAAATTGATTGGTGCAACCGGGCAAGATCCATTCAAATTGTTATCGTTCTACTGTTGTAGATACATGACCTCAGGTATCTTTTTTTCAGCTGTTTTCAATTTATTATCAAACTCATCTGCCACGTGTTTGTAGTATGGTCCCAACTCATCTCTCACTTTCTCATACCATTGGCCCAGCTTCGGATGATGGTTAAAGGGATTAAACCCAATGAATTCTGGAATTTAAAGAAAATTTGATTACATATGTACATACATATCGTCCGTCACCTTAGGGTGAAAATATGCCAAGTCCATTTTTTGAAATTGTTCAGGAGGGACGAAAAATCGATGTCGTTTCGTATTACCTACCATTCTGCATCAACAACTAAATTGTGAAAAAAATGGACTTGGCACCTTTTCACCTTTAGGTAAGTACATTCATCACAAGAAGTAGAAGCAAAAACTAAAATATAAATATCGTACACTTCTTTTGCTGCACCTCGTCACAATTGTGTCTTCAGTGCACTATGGGAAATTTCGCGAATTTCTTGACAAACAATTTATTATGGCTCAACAAGTAATTTAAAAAAAAAAATATGAGTTTTTTGTGGATTGGCCTGTGATTTCCCATATTTTTGTAAAAAAAATATCTTAACTCTTAACGAACTTACTTACTTAGTAGCTTTATTAAAAAAGTTTGAATGTAGCTTTTGTTTAGTATTCTTATGAAAGGAAAAAAATATAACTTAAAAATAATGATAGATTGGCGCTTACACAATGTTAGTGTTTGGCCGAGCTTATACTCCGATTTGTCGCGTGCGCCTTGCTGTTGTCACACAAAGGGGAAGGACGTACAGTTTTACGCCGACTCCGACCGGCGATTGTATTTTTATGAGAAGCTTTTTTTCATGGCCGAATACACAGCAACTTACATAAGTTCTGTTCGTCGAGCGAATAATTTGCACGACCAAAAAATTATCCATCACTCAATAATTCAGAGCGCAAAGTGACTCTTCTCTTGGAGAGAAGTAGAAAATTCTTGCTGGAAAAATTTTTGTGAAAAACAGCTTCTCATAAAAATACAATCGCCGTTCGGAGTCGGCGTAAAACTGTAGGTCCCCTTTGTGTGACAACATCAAAACCATTTATACAGTGGCAATTTTTGAAAAAATGTTTACAAACAAACTATACCTACTAATTTCAGTTAAAAATCTTAAAAAAGACTGAATTTCTTAATTTTCCTATTGAAAAGTTAACAAGAGTAACCTTTGCAGCGAAACAAAAAATTTTAAACAACCTTTTGCTTCTTCTCTTCATTGAGTTCTCCCTTCCAAACGGTAAATATGTATGTAGTTCACTACATACCCCCCTGCAGCGCCTAGCGGTCACGAATACATACGGGGGGACTGGGCAACCTTTCGATGCCCTGGGGGGACCATACTAATCTTCAGTTGTCCGTAGGTCAGCAATCTGGACCGCCAGCACCGCTGCCGCCCTAAGGCCGAGATCGCTTCCGAGGAGCGCCCGCAAGCTTTACCGGGGACTGCTATTTGTACTCGCTGTCATCCAGGGCCGCCGCAGTAATCATCCCCCCGCTAGGGCCCGTACCGCTGCTTTTATCACAGGAGCCGCTACTACGACTGCCGCCCCAAGGCCTCTGCCGAGGACCGCCCGCCAGCAACACAAGGAACCGCGATTCGTACTCACTGTTATCCAGGGCACAATAATCATCACCACCGCTAGGGCCCATACCGCTGCTCTTACCACCGGGGGCGCTACTACTACTGCCGGCCAAGGCCGTGGGCCGCCCGCCATCATAACCGAGGACTGCGAACACTAACTATCGCCAACCAGGGCCGCTATCACCACCACCAGGGCCCGCTGCTACCGCCGGAATTATCGTCGCCCCAGGCCGCCGTTACTACCCGTCACGACCGTCCGTCTGCCCGTCCGTCCGTGTACACGATAACTCGAGCAAAAATTGAGATATCTCAACGAAATTTGATATGTTTCCATTTATACAAGGTAGGTTGGATTTGAAAATGGGCGAAATCGGACCGTAAACACCCCCACTTCCCATGTAACGGTAATTTCCAGAAATACGGAAACTACGATATTTTAGTAACTACTAAAGATAATTCACTCAAAATTGATATTTACAATAATTTTCAGACAAAAAATAAGAATATTTTAAATTTTTAGAAAATTGGCGTAGCCACGCCCACTTATGGTTACATTGGTAACCGCTGCACCAATTTCTTCCAAACTTGGCACAGTTATTGGTACCAAATGGCCGAAAATTTTTAAAATCGGACAATAACCACGCCCACATCCCATATAACGGTAATTTAGAGAAATACAAAATCTTCGATAAATCAGTAAATATTAAAGCTAATTTATGCTTGCAACAATTCTTTACCAAGAAATACGTCTATGACAAAATTTTGGAAAATGGGCGTGGCACCGCCCACTTATGATCACGTATATGTATCTCAGTAACCGTTATACCAATTTATACCAAACTCGGTATGGTTAGTGTGCTTGCCACATAAAAGCAAAATGTTGAAAATTATTGAAATCGGACTAAAATTACGACCGCTTTTCATATAACGGTAAATTTCAGAAGTGCTTGAAGCTTCAATATTTCGAAATTTGAGGACGCGAATTTACTCAAAATAGATACACCCCGGCTTACCATGTAGCGGTAGCTTTCGGAAAGATGAAAATCATATATTTAATATTTGCGCCGGGTATTTAATGTTCGGGGCCGCCCGAACTTAGACTTTCTTACTTGTTTATAATAATATAGAATATTCTACGTGTGAATCCGATTTTAAAATTTTACAAAAATTAAAATAAGTCAAACAGGTTTCTGACTCTTTAAATATGGTACATAAGAAACATCTACTTATGTATAGATCTAAAAGTAATTACTTTTTACTTTATTTTATATATTTTTGTTTATTCCTCTATAGTTATTAACTTAAATATGGATCAAGGCGAATTCATACAAGCTGGTGTTGCCAGAAGAGCTGAGATTATCGCCGCGATGGTTCTGAATGTCATAATTATGTGTTTTTGTACATGAGTGGTAATTCTTGCTTTCATTGTGCGTATAATTTGTTGTTGTCATTTTTGTTTTTGCTCCACCGATACCACCTTGTAAGAATACGCCTTGATCGCCTTGTTCGTAAATTGCCAAGAAAGAAACGCAATTGATTCCAATATTTCATTCAAAAGTGCTAACTTTGACCAGCCTTCATTCGTCAAAATATTAAGTTCTTTCCCGTACGCAACGCGAGATCCCGCGGGTGCCCAAAACAGCCCAGAAATCATTCCCGTACTCAACAAAATGGGTAATACGTATTGCATCGTAAGTGTCTTCTTCTTCCTGCCCGAAACAGTCCGGAGGTTTTCCCCGGGTAAAAATGGAGAAAGTGTCAAAGTGCAGATCAGCTGTTTTGTGTTTACATGTTGCCTGCATTTACTTGGTGCTTTTGAGGAATAGGGAATGGCCTGGTAATGTATTTTCAATCTTTATATACTTAAAGTCAAGTTTGTGAAACCAAAATTCAATATTTAAGTGTTTGCAATTAAGTGACAAAAACAAAAAAAAACGTGAATCAGCTGTTTCTCAAATTCTGGGCACGAAATGTGGTTTTTTGCGTTTCCGTACTTCTGGACTTTGTTCCTTTTTTGAGAGCAAACTTTTCGCTTATTCTCTAATTACCGGATCCGGTCCGGATTGTTAGGGAAAGCATGATAAAAATATAGTAAGGTAGAACCGCTGAGAGTTACTTTTAAAATTCTTGACGTTTCCAAACATTTTAATTTTTAAATTTACTCACAAACTCACACACACATTTTCATTTTCAATCTCAAGCAACAACAATTTCGAACAATTTCAAATTTTTATTTTCAATTTTATATGATTTTAAAATGCTGGCAAACTTCAAAAAAAAATCATGGCCGACAAAATGAGAGAACGGTTCTACCTTGCCATGTTTTTATCATGAGGGAAAGAACCTATTATTTACATAAACAATAAATAGGGGGTTTCCACCATTTTTTAGATACATTTCTGTAGGCGTTTTTTTTTTGAAATCTTGATTTTTCGAATATTGAACAAACCGTTTTTTTTCTAATTTTTAAAACAAATCTTGACCTCTCAATAAAAGTTTTGGGGTTTTCGAAGTTTTCAAGGTTTTTTTCCTGTTTTAGGGAAACCCCAAAATAGTTTAAAAATTATATCGCAGCTTGTTTGGGGATGAACAGTAATGAAACCATGGACCTCCCGGGTGGTAGTAGGCACGTCAGAAAAATAAAGTTTTAAAATAAAACCAACGTAAATTTTTCACTGATTTTTATTTATTTTACTTTGATCTAAAAACATTTTGCTTCTCTTCTCTTTTTAAATAAAAGCTGCCCATAATGCTAATAGTTTTTTTGTAATTTTTGGTCATGATAAGCATTTTCTTTAAGGATGTACGAAAACATCGATGCATTGACCAAAAAAATTGAATCGGCTCCAAAAAATTCCTTTAGAAACATAATTAGCTCAATTACAGTAATTAATTTGAATTTTGTTACAATTTTTAACCGACTTCACAAAAAGGAGGAGGTTATAATATTACATTTACATTGACCCCAAATGCGTCATTTGGGCGAGAAACCTCAAATGCGAGGCCAAATCACGCATTTCTCCATACAAATTCACATTTCCAGAATGACGCATTTCGACGCATTTACACAAAATCACGAAACAAATGCGTTCCAATTGCCGTACTATTTTATTGAACGCACTCAGAAACAAAAGTTCCACAAAAGCTTTGGTTTGTCTTTGACATTTGGAATTTTTCAAACACAAAACAAACACAACGAAATAAATAAATCTTTGAAATTTGTGTGTAAAAATTGTTAATTTATACAAGAGCTTTACACATTTTTAGTTTAATCAAAGAATAATTGCCTTTTTGTGTCCAAAAAGCGTTAACAATATAATAAATGTAGTGTTTGTTTACATACATTTTGTTTTTGTCTTCCCTTTTCATTTGATGAGAAGTCAAAGCAAATGCGGATCAAGCAGTGTAAACACCTTCAAATGACTGATTTCAAATCACGCATTTTGGTCCAATGTAAATGTAATATCAGTTCGTCGGAATATTTTTTTTTTGTTTTTCTATGTATGTTACCGCATAACTTTGGACCACGTTAACCGATTTCGATAATTATTTTCTTTTTATCGGAAAGGTGGTACCTCAGGGGTGGTTCCATACCAATTTTGTCTGATAATTGGATCGTGAAGAAATTAACGATAATATTAAATTTTTATATGAGAATTGAGGTCGGTTTTGTTTTTTGCTTAAAATTACTTGTTCTGATAACATATTTTGTTGTGAAATAATATCTGAAAAATCCTATGCAAACCGATGGATCTCCGTTCGATGTATTGAAAAGTATCGATGTACATTTCGATGCATCGAATTACAGAAATACATCGATGTACTTTTGCCACTGACATCCCCAATTTTTACTGTATGAAAAATATGAATGCAAAATAAAATCCTCGACTTGTTTTGGAAAAAAGGCGAATAATCATTCGATTACACTTATTTCGATTATATATTTTTTTATTTTTTTATGCCTAATTTAATGCTTAAACAGACAGCAGCGTTGATCCGGACTAACTCGGACTTAATCCGGATCAACGCTGCCGTCTGTTTATACTTTTATACAACAGGCACTTGAGACTTAAGTACTAACATCAAATTTAGTATTACTTAGTTAAAAAAAAAAAGTTATTTTTAAATTTTAATTGTACATAGTAAAGATTTAGTATTAGATAGATCTAGATCCAAACAAATTTAGAAGAAGTTAGGCTCAGACAGAGTTCTATTTATCGGAGCATTAGCACGGTAAACTGTTCTGTTAAGCCCAACGCAAAAGACTTCAGAATTGCGGAAATTTATGCTGATAAATGTACGCTGCCGAACTATCCTTTATAAATGGCTTTTCCAGGTTGTGTCAAATGCACATGCAAATTGACAATAGGCAATAAAACAATAATTTAAGAAAAACAAAAACTATCAAAAAACTATCGATGGTGGTACGATAGTCAATAGTTTCAGACCAATACAGGCAGGTTCTGCAATTCACTTCCGAGGAAATATCAACGCCTACCTAATTTGAAGTCGAAAGCGAGTTTTATTGAAATTCACTCGCAAGTGAATTGCAGAACCTGCCTGATAATGTGATGATAATTTATTTTCCTTCATAAAATGCAGTGGTAAATTCTTAAGATAACTTACTTGGTTGATCAATCTCGCAAATTGCCATCAAGTCAGCGTAAGAAAGGTTGTCGCCAATAACGAATTTGTTCTTGTTCAAAAATAAGTTTTCAAAATCTTTAAAAGATTGATTTAAACGTTCTGTTAGAAGACTGGCCTATGATAAAAATAAATAAATTAATTAATAGAGTAGAAAACACCGTAAAAAAAATCTGCATATCGTTGTCATTATTACAAAATGCCCTAAGTGACTTTTTGGATTTTTTTCCAGTAGGCAACTCTGTGATTGCTTCTAATTAAATGCTTGGAAACAGACCTTTCTCAAAAACACTTCTTTTTTGAATGCTGCATTAGAAGACATTCGTCGTGCCAGAGCGCATTCGTATAAGGTTTCACAGGGATTCCGAAGCCGAAAGTCTTAAAACTCTCACCATTCAGGAGAAGAAAATGAGTTAAGCATGGATCTCGAAAGTCCTTTCACCTAAAAAATCCGAATTAGTTTACCGACTGGTTTCATATGAAAATTTTAAGTATCTTCCAAATAAAAATAATAGTTTTCGTGTTTTTTGAGATATCGTCTTCAACTATTTTGGGTAGTTGACTCTTATTTAAGGTCTGCTTCTCAGTGAAGTTATGCACCAATGCTCGTAATTAGATTTGAAAGCTTACTGCCAAATGGGAGTTAATTCATACTGTGAAATCGTTCCAAAGCGAACTAATACCAAAAAGTTTCCTTGAAGAAGAATTACTTAAAGCCTTTCGAAATGATGAATATACATGTATGTATGTATACCTACATTCGTTTCTTCAGTAGATGTCTTGCCCAGAATAGGCAAAAGCCATTTTTGTTTGAAGTAATTGCTGCATGCCAATCCCATATTTCGCTGCTGCCATTCAAGGAACTCATCAACTCGACTGCGTCCAAAGTTGCGGCGTGGATACCAGTGTTCCGGCACAATTTTCTCTCGGTTTAGGTGTCGAAAAATAGCGACACTTTCGGCCAATAAGAAACTGTCATCTTGAATGACCGGCAAGCGCTTGAAATGACTCACTTTATCACGATATTCGCCAGTTAAATGCTCACCTGTGAGAAATAATAGTAGGATGTACATTAGTTTATCATCTTTGTATACCATACATATGTATGAATATGTTATTTATAAATAATGCTCGTATCAAAACTTTTTTTGCTATATTATACTTTTTATTTGGATTCCAAAAGTGATATTGCAGCTTTTTCAAAAATACTGCATTTATACGAAAACTTTTTTTTTTTCCTACCTAAATTTTTATATGCACAAAATTAGTATAAATTTGATCCGATAGGTGCCGATTTGGTTCATATTTAGGACGTACATTAACTACGTGAAAAGGAATAACTCCTCTAAACATTTTGCCGATAGGTGGCGCACGAGTCGATATATTTTTTAAACCGGTATTTATGGTCCCATTCCGTTCATATTTAAAAAGCTTGCTTTAACAATATTTGTTTTTACTATTAACTTATTTACCAGTTTTGAAAATTTTTCTTTTGCTTGTATAATGTTCATTAATTTTTATTTATGGCTTTCCAATTATACAATACTTAAACACCATATAAATCCACATTTCAAACTTTGTAAAAAAAAGTCAAAAAAATTTCTCAACAAACTTTTTATTCATAATTTTTAGAAAAGTTCTTAAGTTCTGAACACATTGAAAACGACGAGCTACCGACCACAGCTTCCAATTTGTCATCTTTATTATCTAAGCGCTTTGTCGATGGCGACATAATTTCTTTGAACGCGGCAGCGACATCATGAATTTGTATGAGTTTGACATAAAAGAAGAGGAAGAACCTTATCTGTCGCCAGAAAAATAGAAATAGATCTAATCTGGCCACAACCACAGCCGTCGCGTAGCCCGGTCGTCGCCAAAATAATTATCTACATAAGAGTACGTGTTAAAATAATTTGACAGCTGTGGTTTGTAGCTCGTCGTTTTCATTGTGTTCGGGCTATTAGTATGCAGTTTTATAGATCATTCAATTCTATAAAGTGTAAGTTTCAAGAGGCTAAGAATTTGCGTTGATTTATTTTGCAATTTTTGTACAAAGTTAGAAATTTTGATTTACAAGGCTTTCATCATTTTGTCGCGGTATGTATAAAAAAAATTTGCATCGATAAGTTGTGACAGAAGCGTCGCCTGTGTGCATTCTTTCATATATGTATGTATGTGCCATTTTTACCATTATATAATTTTTCTCTACTCGTGTTTATTCCATGGGGTATTTATGCCATTCGGGTGCTCTTTGATGTAAAAAGTATGGAAGGAACACGAAGTTTCTCAACCACGTTTCTAAACAATGTTTATTTGCACCTAAGTGCACCCTGCAACCGCGGCGTTTTTTGTAAAAATAAACGCCTTTTGGTAAAATGAAACGGCAGTTCCAGATTCCTTTTGTTGTTATTAACATTTGCACATTTAATCACTTTTAATTATTTTAAATGCTGCTCTGCGACCACCAACCTCAAATTAAAAAAAAAGCTTAAAATCGCCAACCTGAGAAATTACTTTTCTATATACAATCCAGACTTTTAGAAAAACTTGGCTTCATCAATTCCCCAGCGGACTACCGAACAGTGTAATTCAATCAGTTAATAATTATTATATTATTTCCGTGTACTTAATATTTCTGAAAATTGATTGTTCTTAAAAAACCTTAAAAGGAAGCGATGTTAACTTAATGGTACTTTCATCTCCTTTTCCGCACTATTTTTGCGGTCCATTAGGCACAATTTGAAATTTTTAAATTCCATCCTTGGTTGATATAGACATAGCCCATCAAACATTTAGGTTTGAGCTCAACTTGAGGTTAAGTTGAGAACTAAGGTATTTCTCAAATCTCCAACGTTGTTTCTCAACAGTACCTCAAGATAGGATCATAGCGTTCTCAACAAAAAGGGCGTTTTTCTTTGTACGTAAAAAGGACTGTTTCTGAAGTTGAGTAAATGCTAGTTCTCACGACCCAGATGACTGGACCTTATCAGTGTGGCTTCAGACCTGGTATGTCCACCATTGACCAGATTTTCACAGCACGTCAAATCCTGGAGAAGACACTACATAAGCGAATCGACACACACCATCTTTTTGTCGATTTTAAAGCTGCTTTTGATAACACGAAGAGGAGCTGCCCGCAAAACTAACACGGCTATGTGGAGTGACGTTGAGCACAACCTTCAGCTCCGTTCAAATTGGGAAGGACCACTCCGCGCGGTTTGAGACCAAACGAGGTATAAGACAAGGCGACTCAATCTGAAGCTGGATAGCGTAATAAGAGCTGCCAATCTGAATCGCAGCGGCACCATACATAGAACGATACTGCTGGCGTATGTAGATGATATCGTTATCGTTGGTCTGAAACAAAAGGGACGTAACCGCAGCATTTTCCAGTTTAAAAAAAAGAAGCTAAATAGCGGTGAGCGAGGGCAACCCAAAGTACCTCCTAGCAACATATACAGAGTCCACGCGTTTCGGGACACACGTCACTGTTGGCAGATATAACTTTGAAGTAGTGAAGGACTTTATCTACCTAGGATCCAGCATAAACACCACGTTAGCCAGGAGGTCTTGCCAGCAGGTGCCACTTTGGGCTCAGTAGGCAATTGGAAAGGCGAGCCCTCTCTCGGCGAACCGAAATCACGCTCTACAAATCTCTCATCATGCCCGTCCGTTATATGGCGCAGAAACTTAGACGATGCTGAACAAAGATGAGAAGGCTTTGGGGGCTTTCGAGAGATCTATTCTAGGCAAAACCTACGGCCCTATTTTAGTGGACGACGGGTATCGGTGAAGATGAAATGACGAACTGTATGAGCTTTTTAATGACATGGACATAGTTAAGCACATAAAAATACAGCGATTGCGCTGGCCTGGACATGTTGTACGCGTGGATGACGACTCTCCGGTGAAAAGATCCTTCGACTTCGCTCCCATGGGTGGACAACGAAAGCAAGGGCGCCCACGAACGCAACGGAAGGACCAAGTGCAGAAGGACCTGTCTGCGCTCGGGATAACCAACTGGCGCAAATTTGCACAGAAGAGAAGCAGTCGGAGAAGCTTTGTGGTCTCCACCCAAACCGGTTGTAGTGCCAAATAAGAAGAAGAGGAGTATCGATTTTGTTATCGATATCTTTAGCGATTTCGTTATCAATATTGTTATCAATAATTTTATCGGTTTTGATGGCGATATTTTTATCGATGTTACTATCGATTTTGTTATCAATACGAGGATACTGATAAAAGGAAAGAGGAAGAAAGATCAAATAAAGGTAATTATAAAAAAGTATATATGTATGTATGTACTAGGAATGTTAATCCCGGGATCCCGCCCTTTTTAGGTGCCGAAAATCCCGGGATTCTTGGCCAATAATCCCGGCATTTTCGGGATTTGCAATTTGCAATGATGGCAATGATAAAAACCCTTTTCTGTACCAGTATTAGCTATAGTTCTTTTTTTTTATTTAATAATTAATATTTTTTTTTTATAAATGTCTTTCGTGAAACTGGCTTTTAAGGCATTCCATCTGAAATAAGTCTATGTATATTGGACTTCTGTTGAACAACGATACGCACCCATTTTAAAATTGCCCCCAACTATAAGATAAAGTTTCTAGAGGAGATTTACTATAAATCCGGACCATTGTTGCCGCCAGGGAACTTCTTCGTGGACATTACACTTTCGCTAGGTTAAATATTTATGGCGACAAACGACTACCAAACTATAATCATAGCCGAGGAATGTGCCAATATAAATCGTAAACGCGGATTGATGGTAAAAATGTTGGCACAAAATGTTTAAATAAACAAGTAAGAGCAGCGTTGTCTTCGGCTATACCAAAGGCTTCTACCTTTCATGAACATCTGAAAATTTTACTTTAACAGATTACTGCATTTGAAAAAATTCAATCAGAGGTATGGAAGATATACCTTATATAGCACCAATCTAAGCGATTTTCACTGCTGTGTGTTCGGTATGTAAACCGGTAACACAATTTAATGCGTTTAGCTTTTTACATAAAGGAGACATATCACAAAAACTGGTATATGAACCATCATTGGTATAGGATATAAAGCTTATTCAGCATAGATTTTGACGATTTTCTCAGTAGACTTTGTATTATCATTTATAAAATAGCTTACGAAATTTATCGGGTTTAGCTGTCCAAATAAAGTAACACCCCATATCTAAACAATCGGTTGTATGAAGGCAATAAATAGGTTATACTGACCCGATCTTTGTTCATTTTACTATAAACTTTCTGTTGATAATGAGTGGAAATAATGCGAAATTTCATGTTTCTAGCTGTATAAATGCAGAAGTTATAACAAAAAATCTCATATCTGAACAATCAGTTGTATGAGAGATATATGTTATAGCGACCCGATCTTCGCCGTTTTCACTGTAAGTAATCTTTTGATAATGGGTGGAAATATTACGAAATTTCATATTCCCAGCTGCATAAATGGAGGAGTTACAACAAAAAATCGCATATCTGAACAATCAGTTGTATGGGAGATATGTGTTATAGTGAGCCGATCTTTGTAATTTTCACTGTAAGTATTCTGTTGGTAATGGGCGGAAGTATTGCAAAATTTCATGTTCCTAGCTGCATAAAAATCTCTTATCTGAACAATCAGTTGTATGGGAGCTATATGTTATAGTGGTCCGATTCTTCCGGTTCCGACAAATAATTAATATATTATAAAAATACACCCACCTACCAAATTTCATTTCTGATTAAAAATCCCGAAATTAACCAGACGCCTTACTGCAGAGATGGGCACTTTTTTGCCCGCGCAGCAGCGAAAGTGCGAGCGCGGGCTAGAGAAAGGGAAAAACAGTTTACGGGAGGAAGGGTCTGAAAAGTTGCGAAAAAATTATTTATATCTCCACCGACATCATATTCATCGCAGTACGCCTGTGGTAATACTGACCAGTGTTGCCGCGAATTATTTTTAGTGGTAGCCAAATTCCTTAAAAAAAAGGGCCAAAAAAGAGCTAAAAAAGTCGTTGTGGCTATAATTGGTAGCTAAAATTTTTTTACTTACATATACATATAAAAGTATATACGCAAACATTTTCAATAAGTAATAAGAAAAACAGTGAACTCTGGAAAAAAGCTAATATTTTATCCAACCAAAATCCATTTTGTATAAAGGGCTTGGTGGCTCCATCAAGTGATTGTGCCATCAGGCTGGAAGCATATAACTTACCAGCATGCTGGTACAATATTTATTTCGTTACAAATGAGGTCGAGGAAAGATCGAAATGATTAAAGCCGAAATTTCCAATTTTTGTGCAAGAAATTTCAGCCACAATATTTTTTACTTAGAAAATTGAGCTAATTTCACCACTCAAGACACCAGCATGCTGATACAATCATAAAATTTTCAAATAGTTCTTGCAGCTGGTACAATCACACCACAAGAACATACACCATCAAGGGCCATTTAACAAATTAAGCATATTAAGGACCGTAAACTTATCTATTTTAAACTATAGTTAAATAAGACTGTGAAATGCACTGAATACAATTTATTCTTTGTATATAAAATTAATAGAAGTATGTACATACATACATACATACATAAAATGTGAAGTTATATAAAAAAAGATGATTTTATTATTGCACTCGTTTTTACTAACTTTTTAAAAAGAGGTGCGTATGTTAGTGATTGTGAGGCCAGATTTGGCTTCGGCACCAAGAAACGATGTGTTTTACTCAGATGGTAAAAAAACAACAAAGTTTTTACAAATAATTAGAAAAGAAAAAAAGAAATACTTAACTTACTTGCTTACTAGCATTTTCAAAGCGAAAAGAATTTAAAAAGGTGGGTTTGTAACTTCAGCTTTTTATCAATCATGGTTGAATTTTAGTCCATTTAAATTTGTAGATTCTTGTAAATTCAGTGCTGCCACAGCTTTAAATATTTCAAATTATTTCAGGTTTTACCTATCTCAAAGTAATTTTAGTTCAGAAAAAAAGCACTAAAAAAGGCACTAGGCACCATGATAAAAATATAGTAAGGTAACTATAACCGCTGAGAGTCACTTTTAAAATTCTTGACGTTTCCAAACAATTTAATTTTTAAATTTACTCACAAACTCACACACACATTTTCATTTTCAATCTCAAGCAACAACAATTTCGAACAATTTCAATTTTTCATTTTCACTTTTATATGATTTTAAAATGGTGGCAAACTTCAAAAAAAAATCATGGCCGACAAATTGAGAGAACGGTTCTACCTTGCTATGTTTTTATCATGCTAGGCACTAAATAATTTTTTTTGGCGTTTTAATTTTCAAAAAGCACTAAATGTAGTGCTTAAAGCACCAAGTTGGCAACTATGCCGTAGGTATAGGGTAACTGAAATATGTATATGTACCAATATGGGTATCAGACAAAGGAAAAAATTGGATATACTAAGCAAGAAATAAGTGAAGAGTAAAAACATGTCTGCGTTAATTGCCAAGCTTTTTAATCTTACGCTTTATTTTTGAAAATAGATCGAATCGTGCAAATCTGATGGCACTGACAAAAAACAAAAAAAAAGTTTTTTTTGTTAATTAGCAAAAAACGCATTACTTCAAAATGTGCAAAAATTAGCAGGTTTTTATTTCTTCTTTGTAAAGCTAAAAAGCCGCACTATTTAATGAAATAATAAAAAATAACATATTTTTAGATATACTTTTTATTCATTCCAATTAAATTTAGCAATTTCTGAAATTTTGATTAAAAAAATGTTTTTCTCGAATACCACAGGGACACCCTGTGTTTAATTTTATTCCAAAACCTTTTATCCTGTAGCTCTCTACTAGCTATACGGAAGTAAAAAACGTCAAACCAACATTTTATTTCAAAGAATGTATTTTTGACATTTGTTTTCGTGAAAAGCTTACGCATGGCTATGCTCTTATTAATATTCTTAGTATAAAATTTGTCGACATAAGTGGCTTCCTGGCGGCATATAATTTATTTTATAGGGAAATTTATATTTAATTATTTTTAGTGGATAAATTACCATTACAAAAATACCAAACACGTTCACATTGCAGACAACAATTTTTCGATTTTTACCCACTTAGGCGGCACTGTTAGGCTCCTATTATGGTTCACAACTCAACTTAGAAACGTTAGATAATTGAGATCAAACCTAAATGCTTGCTGGGTATATACATATATGTACATATCATCGGTGATGCTGCAAAACGTTCTATGTCACTTATTACCTCCGGTGCTTAATTGATCTGTTATCTGTATCCGATCGCTTCTGGCAATAGTTCATCTTCATCAGACAAAGGTAGACAGTTTTGTCATTCATTTATTGAGGTGTAAGGATTTGTAGATGCATTCCAATGCAAGTAAGAGACCATCTAATTGTAAAGGGTACTAATAGACATAGACCGTTTTGCAGTATCACCGACGATATACATACATACCATAAATACTATCGAACCCATGACTTTAATTTAATTGCTTCTGTTTTATTTGAGTCGCAGATTTTGTGCCCAATTCTATACTTACGAATGTCAGGAGCGTTAAAAAAAAAATAACACATAAGCTTTACCAACGTAAATGCATAGATTAATAATAAATAATAAACATATGTGTGTATGTAAGTAGTGTATCTTGCCTTTAAGTGTTGATATAGGTATCGCCTCAAATGGTATTTTTGATGCTTCCATTAAAATATACAATGCTCGGCTTGACTGGTTGAGAAAATCGAAATAAAATTTGACCGGTTGCATTTTAAACACTTTTATACTATGTGAATATGCATGTATGTATATGAGACTGCAAGGTTCTGATTATAAAATTTGTTTATTACAGTTTATTTGTGGTATGTATTTTACAAACACCGTATCCGACCGTTGCTTATAGTAAACTGAGCACAACTTGCTATTGACAATTATTTAAAATGCGTTGTTCGGCTGTTTAACGGGCTTCGCTTGCGCACCAGTGGGCATAGTTGCCAACTTGGTGCTTTAAGCACTAGATTTAGTGCTTTTTGAAAATTAAAACGCAAAAAAAAAAATATTTAGTGTCTAGTGCTTTTTTTCTGAACTAAAATTACTTCGAGATAGTTTAAACCTGAAATAATTTGAAATCTTTAAAGCTGTGGCAGCACTGAATTTATAAGAATCTACAAACTAAACTGGATTAAAATATAACCATGATTGATAAAAAGCTGAGGTTGCAAACCCACCTTGTTAAATTCTATTCGCGTTGAAAATGCTAGTACGCAAGTAAGATAAGTATTTCTTTTTTTCTTTTATAATTATTTGTATAGATTTTGTTTTTTTACCACCTGAGTAAAATACATCGTTTCTTGGTGCTGAATCCAAATTTGACCTCACAATTGCTCTAGCACTAGAATTTTGAGATATCCTAACCCCAAAGTGCCAAAAACACGGTTTTTAGCGATATTTGAGGTTATATAATGAAAACATCAAATTATTTGCTCATTTCTAATTAGGGCATCATTTTCGTTTGATGCCATTCGATTTTTCTTTCTCGAGATATACCAGTTTCAATGTACAGTACTTCGGTATTATGTTATGAAAAAAGCATACCTTGATTCAAAAAAATTTGGTGCTTTTAGTGTGGTAAAACGCCTTTTTTCCAAGTTTTTGGTGCTTTTTGAAAATCAAAAGATGGCAACACTGCCAGCGGGGCGACGGCAGACCCGATTAGCGAAGCATACCGTGGAACCAGCAAAGGCCGGTCGTTCGAATATTTTCATTTACGTATTTGTTTTGTATTCTGCCTTATCTCTTTATTACTGTGCGCGCACAACTTTTGCTGGCTTCATACATATAAGTGTTATGATCCGTAGTGTTGTCTTATATATGTACGTACATGTACATATGCACCTTGCCCGATAACTCTTAGTACATACATAAAACCTAAAAACAAGTTAAAAACATAAACACACCTGCCCCCAATGAAGGTTTGTATGTGTGGTGTGTTGCCCGATGCCAGGAGCGCTCACCGATGTCTTTTAGGGGGGAACCGTGAATGCTGACTTAAGAATCAGAACATTAACAAACGAGTGGATATGGGACAAATCCGAGAAATTGTCAACCAAAAACGAAAAAACTGCATGTAATTAAAATTCTTACATTTTTACCATACCATGGGTTATGGTCGTTCTTCTGGGTATGCAGTTACGTTGTACGGGCTGTTTCGTCGGCGTCTGATAAGAGGGAGAGGGGTGTTAGTTGAGTGGGATTGAGCTGGCATGTGAGGAGGTGGTTGGTGTCCACAATCCGCATCAAGGCGAGGTTCTTCAACATCTCGCTCATTTGCGCCGACGGATCTTTTTCTCAGCGCTTGGAGAGCTCATGCGAACATAGCCCTCGTCTCTGTTCGAAAATCGTGCTTGGCGGTTTCAATTACATTGGCATGGAAGGCATATTTGGAACCACTGTCGGAAAATTCAGCTTCCACTACGAAACGTCCGGCAACGGACTGAGGCTGGTCGACTTCGCCGGGGCCCGAAACATGGAAGTGTGTATTGCTAGGTTCAAGTATAAAAAGATCCATCAAGCTACATGGCAGCCTCCATATCGAAAAACGAGAAACCAAACCGATGCATGTTGTCATATACGGAAGGCACGCTTCTGTGTTTTTGGACGTACGAACACTCCGAGGGCCAAAAATTTACTCGTACCACTATCCTGTTGTAGGCAAGGAAGGCTCAACGTCGAAAAGTTGCAATCACAGCAAACGGTCAATGTATCCGCCACTCGACTCTCAGAGAGCATTCTTAAAAACCCGACAGATACGAGCAGTGGAACCACATCTCCCGCTTATTAGAAGTAGTCGGATTTCAGCGAACCCGAAAGAACAACTGGTACGATGAGGAGAGTCATGCGATCGGGCGCAACACGAGCCATGTGGGACTCATATAGGGAACTGAAAAGGGAAGCGAGACGTATTTGCCCTAATAACAACTCCAGTAAGAATAACCATGGAGGAAAAACTTTCCCACCCTTTGGAATGAGAGCAGCACTGAAAGTTGTGGAGAAGACGAACCCGAGCTCTCATTTGATGATCACGGAATCGATGTTCCACCGTTGGACTATTTTGAAGTACGAGTAGCAATTACGCGGTTGGAAAACAACAAAGCTGCTTGAGCTGATGGCCTGCCAGCTGAGCTATTCAAGTACGGCGGCGAGGAGTTGATAAGGTGCAAGCATCAACTCTTACTAATAATAATAATAGATTGGCGCTTACACATATGTTGGTGTTTGGCCCAGCTTCTCCTCCGAATTGTGGCGTACGTCTTGATGTTGTTGCACAAATGGAGGGAGCTACAATTTTGTATTTGTGAATGATTTTTATGAGAAGCTGTTGTGCATGGCAGAAATACACTCGGAGGTTTGTCATTGCCTGCCGAGGGACGACTGCTGTTAAGAAAAAACCTTTTTTTTATATTTTTTGCGATGTTGCTCTAACCAAGGCTTGAACCTAGGTCCTGCGGAGTGGTAGCGCGCACTGCTAACCACTACACCACAGCGGCTGGCAACTCAACTCTTACTGCCGCACAGTGGTCGGGGAAGCCATGCTTTACGCGAAAAATTCATATTTTTAAACTGTGATAAATTAACCGGAATAAAGCTATTCTTATTCAGAAATGTCCAACGAACTCAAAACTGTATAGTGTTTTCAATAATATCTGCCGATTAAGCCGTTGAAACCGTTTAATTTATCGAATCCAATAGTGACACGTTCTAACAGTTATGAGTTAATAGCTTTATTAACAATTTCTTTGTGGAAACTTTCAATTATATCTAACAGTAATTGCTGGTTTGGTGTTGCTTCTTAAACATGGAAAAAATGATTTGTTATTGAGTTAAGAGCGCTTTCGCCATACATGACTCGTTGAAGCGAAGAATTTTAGTTTTCTTCTTTTTTTGTACATTTTTTTTGTCGAATTTTATAAATGTAAGTGCTGAAAGAACGTTTAAAACCAAGATGATTGCATAGATTTCGAATTCATTGCTATGGCACTTATAACACTTATATGTATTCGCATAAGTACTCATATAAACTAGACAATGAACTAAAAATAATTAACCATAAAAACTCTGGTTACGAATCATTTTTTCGTAAACTTTTTCTGAAAAGTTTTATTTCCTTCTCCCCTTAAAGATAAAATTAGTAAGATAAAAACAAAATCCGCGTGTTCAGAAGAAGGATTTTCTTCATATTAATTTTTGAATTCTATAATCTAGATCCAAGAGTTTATGGCGGAAGTATTTATGCGCAGAACTTCTTATTGCGTAAGTGGCCTTCGGCCGCACTTAATGATTACAAACCTTACTAAGTAAAATTTTCCTTTCTGAGTTGCTGGAAAAGGGGGGCGGAAATTCTTTCTGCGTAGGCGGCTTTCGGCTTACACACATACATACAGAGCAAGTTAAATAAAAGCTTGCAAAAAATTACGCCGCGTTTATTTGGCAAGACAGTAAGTAACGGAGAATGTGGTCAGATGAACGCATGCCCGACGACTGGAATTTAAACGTGCTCTGCCCAATCCACAA